ATTATATTATTAACATTAATATTTTATTTTTTATTAAAAAATTAATACTTTTTTTTTATGTTCGCAGGCAAATTTGCTTGCATTACAGATGAATGGATAATATTATCCTAGGTATTATGAAATTTGGCCATCATTCGAAGATTGTATTGATTTATCAGAGACAGACCACGAATAAATTACTATCTTTGCTGTTTAAAAGTCATTTCAGCTAATTTACCAATCTTTTTAAATTCTAGTGGAGAATTGCTCAACTGACAAATCACTTTGCATGAGTTGACCAAATACTGCTGTTTGTTTTAAATGCTCAACTATTGTATAAACAGGTAAAGAAATTGACCAAGCTTAATATTAGGAGCAATAGTAACAGCAGAAAGACCACTTCTAGCATTAGGTGCTACTGGTACATTATCTACAGGTTCACCACCAGCTATAGACCAGTCTTCATCTCACATTTCATTCAGAATAATATTAGTATCAGTTGTGACTCTTGCTCCAATTCTACCAATTTTAGCAGCTACCTTACCTTGAAATTCTCTAGTAGTATTTAAATCACCAATTTGATTACCACCATTTCCAGCACCTATTCCTCAAACAGCATTTAAGTCTGCTATACTTAAGTTGTCTGAGAGATTATTACATTTCCAATTCTTGCCTTTGATACGAGTTAAATAAAAATTCAATGCATCACCTGCAAGGCATGATACTACTAATCTAAATGCCTCTTATCTTCCAGCAACTTGACCTGCATCAAGTGCAACATTTATTCGACTAGCTATTATATATCTTTGCATGTTCCTAAGCCAATCTTCTGGATCTTCTCTAGGATAACTATAAAATATTGAGGATCTGTATTCTACCATTTCTGATATATTTAGTGGATTATTCTGTAATGCTAAAATTTCTCCCTATAAATTAAATATTATTTGGTGTTCTTCATGTGTTTTATTTTTCCATTTCTCATATCTATTAAAAAGCTGATCTTGATTATATTATAATACCCCTATCACCTCAACATTTACACAGTTGAGCATTTAGTATTGATTTTTTTTTTTTTATTAATATGCGGTGGCTAAAGAAAACATTAGGAGGAATACTTATAAACTAAATAAATATTATCCTCAACATGACCCTTTTAAGTCTCTGATTCTCAGTTAAGGGGTATGGCAACCCAGCACTAGAAGTACAGTTACAGGCACACTAGACCAATAGTACTATCACCTTTAGATAGAGGGTTCACTTCAACCATAGAGCTTGTCACACCCTATTTTTACCAATCTAATTTATAGGGTTTTACCTTATTGATGACTACCAAGATCATGGGATCGGATCCTTTACATAGATAGTGGTTTTGTACCCATAATGTCAAATTCACCTGGGAATCAAACCCAGCCTTTACCCTAGTGATAGTTCGATTAGATGGTGCTGCAACGTGCAATGCAGTCTATTATCACCATAGCCTACCTGAAGGAGGTACCCAATCTACTAATTACTGGTTAATCACTTCCTTACTTGTGTACGAAGGCCAAGTTTCTGTCGATCCCTGGCTTCATTTGCATCTACTTGTTCTTCAAACCCAGTATTTAGGCATAATTAACGTCAACTGACGGATCAATCGACCAGTATCTAATATTTATTAGTCTAAACGCTTACATGTTCAGTTACATATGAAATTCTTATGAAAATCATCTAGTTTTGCATTCAGTTATTGATTATTTCTCCTTGTATTAACGTGCTATCCTAGCCTTGTGAATCTAAAATTGAGAAATAAAAATAAGGTAAGTATTTTCTCAAAGTAATCTAGCTTTTTCCTCTTCTAGCCAATCATTGGTAGCTCCTATATTTTCATAATAAGATGGGAAATCAGGCATAGAATCTTCTGAAACATCAGTATTATCCCCTAAATTACCTAAAATCTCATCATCAAATTCTAAATGAGAACTTGATATTTTAGGAGGAGGAGAAGGACTTCTACCATATATAACTCGTGTTAATTCTTGAACTCTTTTTTCCACAGTATTAGCAAGACCTATAGCCTTTAAAGTTTTCTCATGTTCTTTTTCTAATAATCGGCGAACCTCTTTGGGAGATAAGTTTTCTACTAGAGAAGCCACCAGAAAGTGATTGAGGCTTTTCTGTTATTCTAGCAAGTTCCTTTTATAATATTCCATTTAGAGTTTCTGCTTCTTCCAAAGCATTTCAGATAACTTGTTATTCTCTATCACGCTCAGTTATTATTCTTTCAGCTTGTAAAAGATTGTCTTCAAGATTTTTTAACCAATTCTGAACTCTGCGTAAATTTATTTCATTATCAGCAGTACGCTCTACTCGTTTTAAATGGTTTACCCAGATAGTAGTATGATAATTAATTTTTTCACATTCATCTATTTGATATGTATAGTCTTGTATTCCCAATGCACCTAATGAGCTAGAAGTTATATTGCTTGATAAAGATTGATTATGATCCAATGATGATGAGAACAATGAGGATGATGAAGAATCTCTTATTATCCTATTTTTTAGCTGAATTATCTTTTCATAAAGCTTAGATAATTCTTCTGATATCTGATCTTCTCGAAAAGTTATAAATAGCAATTTACACTCTACAATCATTTCTAGATTATGGATTTTTATCTCTAATGCTATTATCTAACTTTTAAGATCAGATATCTTCCGCTCTGAGATCTCTTTTATTTATATAATTGAGATATCTCTAGCTCACTATGATATAAATCGCGCTTTAGAGATTATATCTGACTCTTATATATTTCATTTTCAGACATCAGCGCTGTTCTATCTTCTTTTTTATAGATAGTTCTATCTTTTTGAGAGATGAGAAAAGGATGAGTAAAGAAGCAAGGGTTCCTACAATCCAAATAGATCCTGATGAGTTCTAAAGAATCGAAAAAAATATTATATTGCATGATCTATATTATCACCCAACTGGGTATTATTCTAATTCTAAATCCTTAAGAGATGCATATAAAAAAGAAGGGTATCGTTTCTGCCTAAAAGAATGCTGTGATTTTTTAGAATAGAAACATATATACCAAATGCATAAAACTCCCCTGAAGAATATTTCTAGATGTAGCTATAGCCGAATAACCCACTCAAATTGCGTATACTAATGTGATTTGCTATTTCTTATATATGATCATTATAAGCGTAAAATATATAGCAGTACTTAATATAATAGACTGCACTTCCTGATATAAGAGTATTCAGAAAAAAATATGATGATCCTAATAATCCTCTTGTATGACCAGAGCTTCTACAATTTGATAGGGGTTGTGAATTTATGGGAAAGATTTCTCGATTTATAAAGGAGTATAATGTTACTATTCGAGTGATTGGTGCATATTCTCATTGAGAAGTAGCTTTTGCAGAACATTTTAACAAGACACTCACAAAAATACTCTATAAAATCCAAGATGCTATTGAATCTATATATTCTAATTCGAAATTGATAAAAGTATGGGTTAGACATTTGCCTATAATTATTAATTATCTAAATAATTATCTTACACGTTTCATTTGAGAACCAGAGACTAAGAAATAGGATTTTACACCTGTAAAAGCTATCATAGAAAAAGTAGAATCGAGACTATCAACAAAATATAAGCGTCCAGTTGGAAAAAATGAAATAATGTTAAAGAAAGGTAATGCTGTTCGATATCTTCTTGCTAATGCAGAATGAGAAGGGGGTATGGAAAATCAGAAAAGAGCTACTGATCCTACATACAGTTTAAGTCTTCATAAATTCAGAAAATTGTAGTGATAAAGAATGAGACAGTTTATATTACCTGGATGGAGAATTTGCACTATCTCGCAGATTTATGCAAGAAGAACTTATATTAATAGTTGATCCAGAAAAAGTTATATATTCACCACAAAGTATATTATCCGTAAATTTCATTCATGCTTCTCCTATCAATAGTGAGTAAAACCAAGCCATTGGTTATGCTCAAAGATGTGTCATTGTCTAGAAAAAACTGGAAAAATAAATAGACATAAGCCCTGTTCATTTTTAGATCAGATCAGATCGACCAAAAATTGAAATCAAAAATTATTGGCTACTGAAATGATCAGGTGAGCGATCAATACGATCAACATTTTTGTTATTCACCTTGATCGATTTTAATAAATTAAATTCAGATAAGCTGATTTTACAAGATAACACAATTTTTTTTTAAATTTTTACTGCATTCAAAAATGTCTAACTCAAATTCAACTTTTCGTTCAATTGCTTCAAAACCACAAGAATTTTTTATACAAAATCCAGACATTATAGCTATAATAAACCCAACTTCTCAGTTTTACATACTTTTAATTTATTGTCACCGGTTGAACCTATTACTAATACTACACTAACACCTGCTAAACCAAAAATTTATAAAAGAAAGAGGGAAAATAGTACTTCAAATAATACTTCTCAATCTGGATCTGTTAATGAAAAAGAAGGCTGAAATGATGAAAACACAAAATTATTGATAAATTTTCTTGAAGAAAATTTTCTAGTTACAAAAAAAATAAGTCAAATTTTGCTAAAATGGCTTCTAATAAAATTTTTCCAAAAAAACTATGGGAACAGATCAAAAATAAATTAGGCCGCTTGGTGACTAAATATAATGATATTAAAGAAAAGGAAAATAAAACAGGAAGAGAAGCATAAGCAAAATGGAAATGGTTTGAAAGAATTGATGCTTTATTTGAAACATACGAAAATCACAATCCAGGATTCTTAGTAAATGGTTTTTCTAATGATATTGAATTGTTTAATAGTTTTGAAAAAAAACAAGAATCTGAAGAAAATCCAGTGAAGATAAAGAATGATCAAGTTAATAAAAAAAGAAAGTTAGTTTCACAA